ATACATGCACATAGTTAGTGTAAATAATATGTAAGTACAGATACATGCCCAAAGCAATTTTTCCACTTTACATTTAAAACTGTTACATCATTTAACTTACCATTAGCAATGGGCTATCAGACCTCAGCAAACATTTTCTTAAAGGGCCAGATAGATGATAAATATTAGGCTCATATGCCATATAATCTTTGTGGCAGCTGCTCATTTACCTGAGTGAGTGCAGAGTTAATGTAGACAGCGAGCAACAAGCGTGGCTGTATTTCAGTAAATTTCCTTCATACAAATCAGGTGACTGGCTCAGAGTATGTGAACTGAAGCATATGTTACCACTAATAAATTTATTTCCCTTATCAGTGATTAAATTTAATCTTTTATATGTCAAGCTTTAAAATTAAAGAGTTGATAAACTTCAGTGTAGTTATATTGTTGTTTTGAGATGGAATCCTGATTGCTGCATGTGGCCCTGAACTCACTGTGATCCCCAGACTGGTATAAAACTCTACTGTTTTTCCTAAGCTTCCCTAGTATATGGGAATAGGCACGAATCACAGTGTAAATAAAATCATTTTAAATTAAATGTTATTCTAAACCTCCTCCTTATTGTTTAAGACATTAGGATAGGGAGATACTAATGTGCATTATAATCCTGCCTTCATTGTATCAATAATTCATATATTTTTGTCTATTCTGTTTTTGGAATATATTCTGTTTATTTCTTTTTGTATCCTAGAGAGTAATTGTCCTGTATTAACTGAGCAATATATTTGCATTCTTAATCACTGTAGTTAGATACTCCATTCAATATCAAATACTGTTTAGAAATTAGAAGTCTCCTTTTTTTTTTGTGAAGGTCTACCATTTTATTTTATTTTTTTAAGTAAATTTTATTAAATTATAAAAGTTTCCATTTCCGCCCCTCTTCCCAACACCCTCCCACTCCCCCCAATCCCTCTCCTCCTCCCTCTTCGTCCCTTAGGGCAGTCAGGGTTTCCTGCCCTGTGGGAAGTTCCAGTTCCCTCCCCCTCCTTCCAGGTCCAGGAAGGTGAATGTCCAAACAGACTGGATCCCCAAAATCCAGTATATGCAAAGGAAACAGGTCCCAGTATCATAGTCAATGGCTTTTCAGAAAGACTTCGGGCCAGCCACAGTCAGAGAATCCGGCCAAATTCCGAGAATCTAAGTTTCCATTTCCGCCCCTCCTCCCACCACCCATCACCCTCCCACTCCCCCACTCCCTCTCCTCCTCCCTCTCCATCCCTAAGAGCAGTCAGGGTTTCCTGCCCTGTGGGAAGTTCAAGTTCCTCCCCCCTCCCTCCAGGTCCAGGAAGGTGAGTGTTCAGACAGACTGGATCCGCAAAATCCAGTATATGCAGAGGAAACAAGTCCCAGTGTCATTGTCAATGGCCTTTCAGAAAGACTCCGGGCCAGCCACATTCAGAGAATCCGGCCACATTCAGAGAATCTGGTTGGATCGCGTCCTCGTTCAGTCCCAGTCCAACTGCCCTTGGTAAACTCTCATTAGATCCGTTCCCTTGTATCAGTGGGTGATCGCATCCCTAGCAGTCCTTATTTCCTTTTTCATTTTCTTCATCCTTCTGTTCCTCATTTGGACCTTGGGGGGCTCAGTCCGGTGTTCCAATGTGGGTCTCCATCTATATCGCCATCCATCGTCGGATGAAGGTTCCCTCTGATCCTGCCTTCTTTGCTCACGTTCTCTTTCCTTCTACTTCTCGTTTGGACCTAGGGAGTCAAGTCCAGTGTTCCGATGTGGGTCTCTGTCTCTATCTCCATCCATCGCCAGATGAAGGTTCTGTGGTGATAAGCAAAATATTCATCAGTATGGTTATGGGCCTAGGCAGTTTCAGGCACCCTCTCTTCTGTCCAGAGAACAATCTGGGGATCTCTCCTTGGACCTGGGATCCCATTTATAGTCAAGTCTCCTGTAAACCTTAAAATGACTCCCTTAGTTGAAATATATTCTTCCCTGATCCCATATCCATCCTTCCTCCCTCCCCCCATCCCAGTCCACCGAGCTTTCCCCATTACTCCCCTACTCCCTTTTCTCTAACCCTCTCCCCTTCCAACAACCCTCCCACCCCCCATGCACCCGAAGTTACCTGGGACTCTTGTCTATTTCCAATCTCCAGGCGGATAGCTACATGATTTTCATCAGGTTCACCTTCTTATTTAGCTTCTCTAGGATCATGAATAATAGGCTCAAAGACCTTTAATTATGGTTAGAATCCACTTATGAGTGAGTACATATCATATTCCTCTTTTTGGGTCTGGCTTACCTCACTCAGTAAAGCGTTTTCTATTTCCATCCATTTGCATGCAAAATTCAAGATGTCATTGTTTTTTACCGCTGAGTAAAACTCTAATGTGTATATGTTCCACACCTTTTTTAACCATTCTTCTATTGAGGGGCACCTAGGCTGTTTCCAGGTTCTGGCTATTACAAATAGTGCTGCTAATCTTCTTATTGCTCATCTAATCTTTACATCCATGTCAAGCTTCTAACCTTGACGTTCTCTATAATACTGTTTCCAGCTCTCCAGTTTTACCTAGATTTTAGTTTATGATTTTGTTACCGAGAGAAAACACAAAGTTGAATCTCTTGTCATTGAATCTACTGTCAGATTGGGTAAAAAGAAAAAAAATCCTTTGTACTCCACAACAGTACTATTCCATAGAGTGTTCTGTGTAGTGTGGAAACAGCCATATTCTAGATCATCCTCACATGCTCTAGTAAGTATCAAAAATATTAGGCGGGCTACATTAAAGATGGAGTTTTTATCTTCATTTCCCCCTTCTCAAAGGCCATCTTATTAGTGTGGAAAATCAATTTTAGGTTACTTTCTGACAAACCTGAGCCTTGGATTTTTGTTTGTTTAGTTTTAAAGAATGAAATAAAGCAATGAAAATGTTCCAAGGATAACAGTTTTAGAGTTCTGGTACTTAAAATCAGCGATGCTTTTGAAAGAATTAAAAAAAAAGAAAGAAACAACTTGTAGCTAGAATAGACGGTAGTGTCCTGTTAGTAGAGGCTGTTCTGTGATGCGTGCCACTAGCTCTCAGGTGCGGGGTGAGGCTGTAATGTTAAATATCAGATAATACTTGAAGTAAGGATTTACTATTAATAAAACTTTTAGTATGAAATATTCTGTAATTGAATAAAAATACATAGTATCATCTCATCTGTCTTCTGTTACAGAAATTTTGAAAGGGTTAAAACATCTATTGGGTTAAACATTTAAGGGTTAAAACGTAGAAATCTAAAAACTTAAAGACACTATAATGTGAATGACTCAATATTCTAATTGATTTAGAACATTATCATAATAAAATATTTATGAGCAAGACAAATGGCTAAATTGGTATTAAAAAGATTTCTGCTTTAGTATAGGGTTTTGAGTTTGGATGCTTAGCAGCCATACAAGAATCTGGGTCTGCTGGTTCTTACTGCAAACACAGGATTGAGTAGGTGGAGACTAAAGGATCCTGAGATCTGATGTCCAGTCAGTCTAGCAGAATTGAAACCCGGAGAAATACTGTCCCAAAAATTAAGTGGAATATGATTGAGGATGATATCCAGTACAACCTTTGGCCTATACACACATGTGCACATGTGCCCATATATATGTGTACACATGCATGAGCATATACACACACCAAGATTCAAATAAAATTTTATTAGGCTTTCTGCATGAATGTATAAACCAAAACACACGCATATGGTATTTTATTCTGTGCATTTGAAATTTTGCCCAGATATGGGAAATTGTATATATCATCAAGATTAAAATGCTAGATTACTATAGTATAATATGAAATAATAAAAAATCTGAGTCAGATGCAAGGGGATTGACGATCAACTTTGTAGTTTCTAAAACAGTGTTAGAGAGATTATATCTTGAGCTGGTTGGCAAGAGTAACAACGGGGAAGCACACAGATACATTTTCATTCTCTGACACGCATGTGTGCACTCTGGAATCTAGTAATGCATGTTCAGTTCACTTTGTCTCACTATAAATTCAAGACCAAGGGAAATATGTCGTTCTTTTAACGTGTGCGGGGATACCAACCTTTTGACAATGTAATGGGCTAGAAAAAATTGCGTATAAAAAGTCTCCTGGTGTTTGCAGTTGTTTCTGATATTATGTGGACCACATTCCTATTTCTCCTTCATGCTTATTCCCAAAGCACCTGTGACACCTCTACCACCTTTATTACATGACAACATTCTTACTTTTATTGAGAAAACTGAGTTTTCAGTGACCAAAATGAACCACATTTTTAGTATTGTGGTCAATCAGAGAATTCAAGTTGAACATGTCAGAAGGATGTGTCAAACTGGAGGTTTAGAGAAAGATAAATACATTTCTAGTTTACAAGTGTTACTCAACATTTGCATCTAGTTACTTGACAGCCCCAGTGATGACTTTAGAAGACAGGGAAGAATTCTCTACAGCTGTAGAATGACCTCATTACCACTCTGCTTTCCCTCCAGGTCCCACCCGCTCACTCCTCATGTTTAATGGGTTCATATTTTACCTCTTGCTGCACTTTATATGTTTATTACTTCTGCCTTTAAAAGACAAAAGTGATCTGAATGGTATTTAGAAATAATATTTTATTTTGAATTCACTGTGAAAAGCAGCATTTGTTTTCTACTGCTGGGTTCTTCGTGCCTCAGAGTTGGGTTTCTGTCTGGTACAGTTTTCTTGTAGACCAAGCCATTACTTTCAGAATTTATTGTAGGATACTCTCTCAGTATGCAAATCATTTCTGTCCTGTTTTGTTTCGTCTTGTTTCTCTGGTTAGTACTCAGGCCCAGGTCATTTGTGACTCCGTCTTCACACAAAGAGCATCGTGTGCTCTGCTGGTGTGCCTGCCTCGCTGTCCTGCAGCACGCGTGCAGCATGGTGTGCATCCTGACCACAGGAGTCTGTCGTTTATGTCTGTGGAACTGTAGTAATTCTAAAATATTTTATTTTAGGTGCTGTATTTCTTTGTAGTGTACAAGGATTAGCAGTTAACATTGACCCAGTATTATATACATGGCTCCTCTATCAACCACAGAGAAGGACAAGCAGACATATGCAGCAGGTGAGTGGCAAAATCAACTCTTCTTTTGTTGTGTTTGTTAGATGCTGCTATTGTTAATGACTCAGATTAGACAATGCAGTTATGCCATGGAGTTAGCTGCTGCTGTTGGTACGGATTCTCTTCTTATTCATGTGCCAGACTCTCTTTAGGCCCCATTTCATGCTTTTCAACAGTCTGTAATTTTATTTATAAGAACTTGTGTTCAGCATAGTTTGGTTGTTGAGGTAACTTTCTACATAGTTGCTTATAAAGCAGAAAGATTATCAGGACCAGTGTGGACAGTCCTATCTGTTGTTACACTCTTTGGAATTATTTGATAAATTTGATTTGAACTTTAACTCTGGCGATTTGATAATTCATGCAAAAGAAGTTGTGACATGTATTCATTTAGATGACTGTAAATTGCAAAGGAAGAACAGGTCATTGTAGTTTCTAAGAATCGTTAAATGAGACATGCTATGTTAGGATACGTAATTTTCACCATGTTATTGTTCTCATTTTCAATGAAGTGACGTTTTTGACTGCAGTAACAATGCTAGTAAATAGCAAAATTTAGTCCTTTTGAGGTCATATTTGTGCTATATTGTATTGTATTTATTCATTAACAGTTGTGATTTTGCAATATTCTATTTGTAATAATTTTGTTATCATTTTTCTGTGATGAAGTAATGCTATTTAGTAGGAGACAAATGAATTCTGTAATTACATAAGATTAATCTGTGCAACCCCAGGAGCATCCTTGTTTAAATCCTTAATATGGTTATAATTCTCAGAGTGCTTGATTTTCCCTTAGGTATATTCATGATGGGCAGTGATTGATGGGCTTATTAGGCCACTGACTTAGAACTCAAATCTCCTGCCTCAGTGTCCCTAGTTCTGGAATTATAGACATGTGTCACCATGCCTAAGTATTTAAAGTGTTAAATAGATTTTAAATATAATTAACATAATACTAAATATATTGTTATAATCAGGTACAAAATATACTTGTTTTCACATTTTCAGGTTTTTTTTTCTCATTCTTAGCATAGATTTCCACTTACCTCCGCTGTCCTGTTGGCATGCTTTGTGAAACTGTGCTGTTATTGGGAGAGCTGCACTGCAGCCAGCCACATGTGCCGGGTTATCCCGAACACCAGCTTACCATCGCTGTCATTCCTTGTTTCCCCAGTATTTGATGATTCATGCAGTTCCGCATTGATCTTTGATTCTGCAGCAAAATTACTATTTTTGAGCGTGGGATGGTGGGGATCTGACAGCCTTGTATTGGACATCACTGGCAGCAACATCAGACTTTATTTCACTAAATAAAGGAAAAACAGCTACTTCATTGTCCAGCTTTGCGCCCCTGTGTTCAGTCGAGATCCGTAATGCTTTCCAGTTTTCTCTAACTTGGGTTGTGTGCTGTGCCATGACTGTCCCTTCATCAAACAATGTAGAGTTCTCAGAGTTTCCCCAAAGACTGGACTGTCCGTATCCTCAGCATTGTCCCCTCCCCCTCAGTAACATTGCGTCCTAACTGTCACATTCACAACGGGAATTTCAGACTTGAGGTGGTCTCCCAGTATTGTGTTTATATTTCCCTTTACAACTTACGCTAACCTATAGCTTTATAGATTTTCACACAGAATTCTCAACCCTCATTTGAAAATACTGTGGGAAATTCTGTAAATAAATAACTCATAAGCATTAATTAATTGTTATTGCAGCATTGTTGTTATGTTCTTCGCTTCTGTTAACCTCTCATTAACTTATAAATTTAAACTATACTATTGAATTATTTGTATTGAAAAAATTAGTACCATTGTCTCTCAATATCCTTGAAAGACTGTTGGTCCAAGGAACTAAAATGTGTTGATGCCTGAGTTCCCTGTGTGCAATGGTATAGATTATTCCAACCCAACCTAATCATATGCTGCTATACACTTGAGTATCAATAATAATGCCTAGTGCAATGTGAATGCTGCCCTGAATATGCTTGATCCACAGTTGGCTGAGTTCATAGCCAGAACTCACCAATAAGCAAGGCTGGTTCTGTCTGTTCTGGAGGAAATCCTCTAGTAGTGTTCCAGAGTCCAGATGGTATACTTTCCAGAGAGAGAGAGAGGGCTTACAGAATACTGTCCTTGGTCCGTGCTTCACAAAGATGCTCGTTTATTCTTACTGTCTCCCAGCAGCCTGTGGTAGCAGTTCCTCTGGTTCCTGCAGTGAGCAGGAGGAAAGAAGAGGAGCTCTCTACTGGAAGTGCCCCATTGGCAAAGCAGCAGTCATATCAAGCCTCAGAATATGCCAGCAGCCCTATCAAAACAAAAACAGTCACAGGTATGTGTCAACAGATTTATCAGTTTTTTGAGGATTAGTTTACCTTATTATTCTTTCCCATGCTTTTATTAGAAGATAATATTAATTATTGGAGTAGAAAAAAACATAATTCACCATTGTATTGATAAGTCCTAAATGACTAGTCTTTATTCTTTATATATTCTAAAAACAAATGGTACAGTGATTTTTTTTTTCTCCTTGAGATTACTGGTGTGTACTGTAGCAGTGGTGGTGTTGTCCTGGGGAGGGTTTTGTCTTTAGTTCCTCCAACTTTAGAACACTCATGTTGTATAAGGATACGTAAAGATTTATAGATGTTAAATTCCATGGGCATAATGTCCTGATTGTGAATTATGTATCATCTCTCAATTGCCTTTTACTTTTGCTTCTCTTGGAATGAAATATGCTAGCAATAATGTTGTTTCTTGAGAACAAACATTTCTTTAACTTAGCATTTGATTTTTGAAGTTTTTAATTAATTTACAGTGTTTGCCTTCTTTTTTCTATAATTGAAAATAGATTTTTTTCTTACATAATATATACTGATCACTGTTTCCCCTCCCTCTACTCCTCCCATTGGGATCTATTCCCTTTCTGTCTTTCATTAGAAAACAAACATACAACAATTATAATAAAAAAGATTAAAATCTAATACATTGCAGTTGGATCCAGCAAACAAACAGATAGAAAAGTGTCCAAGGTAATGCACAAGAAACAGAGACCCTTGTGTTTGCACACTAGGAATCCCATTGAGACACTAAACTGGAAGCCTCAATCTGCCTGCCGAGGACCTGGTGCCACCTTGCAGGTCCTGGGCGTGCTGCTTCAGTCTCTGTGTGTTCCTCTGAACTTTGCTCATGCTGATTTAGAGGGCCTGGTTTTCCTGGAGTCCTCATCCCCTCTGGCTCTTACTCTCTCTCTGCCTCCTCTTCCACAAGGCTCCTTATACCTTGAGGGAAAACATTTGATGAAGATATCCTTTATAGGGATGCTTGGTCCAAGGTCTCTTTTTCTCTGCATGGTGTCTGGCTGTGGGTCTCTGTATTTGTTCCGTCTGCTGTAGGAAGAAGCTTCTCTGATGGTAGCTGAGCAAGGCACTGGATATGTGATCTATGACTGTAGCCAAATGTAATTAGGAGCCATTTTATAGCTATGTTGTTGCTATTATTATTGTTGTTAGTATTGTTGTTGTTGGAACAGTAGTATTTAGTTTTACCCTAAGTCCCTGGGCTTTTGTTTTTGGATACCCAAGCAGTGTTGGGTATGAGTTCCCATCTTGTGACGTCAAATCAGATTTCTTTGAACATTCACTGCACATAATAGCAGGTGGTCCTCATTTTTTATTTATATTGTATTGTATAATAAATTCACGAATTTGAATAGTTATTTATAATTTATGATCATTTGCATATATCTCCAAATTTTAACTGCCCTCTACAATGGAAGAATGAATTTTCCAACTCTTGTTTTTCTTTTTAATGGGCTGAGTTTTTTTCAGTTTCCAAGGCAAGGCTCACCTTCAAACCGTTCTCTTGCTTCAGTGACCTGTACTAAAGGTACAACATCAAGATTTATGCCTCATTTCTTACTAGAATTGTCATTTTCATATTCTTTATTTTTTTTTTAATTTTTCTGAGACAGGGTTTCTCTGTAGCTTTGGAGCCTGTCCTGGAACTAGCTCCTGTAGACCAGGCTGGCCTAGAACTCACAGAGATCTGCCAGCCCCCGCCTCCCGAGTGCTGGGATTAAAAGGCAGGCAGCACCTACCATCTGGCTCCATTTCCGTATTCTTAGCTACTGATGCAATGTTGATTGCAAGTTTGTCTCTAATGAAATTATGTAACATTTTTAGTTCACAGTGACCCAAGCATGGTGATACAAAGCACTGTGTTTGATCTGGGTTTTCATTTTCAACAAGAAGCACCTGTGTCTTTTTTATTCTTGTGCAAGCAATGCTAGCACCAGGTGGCAGGGCATGTTTTAAAAGACTGGGAGCACAGTTAATATCAACAACACAGTCGCGTAAAATTTTCTGTACTCTCAAAAATAGCTGTGCCCTCCTAGTCAGTGAACCCCTAATAGATATGATGCATTTGCCGGTGTTCAAAAAAGTAATGAAATATTTGCAATGAACAAGAAAACTTTGAAAACAGAATAGTATTGTGCAGTTGTTAACTAGAATTTTAGATGTTTACATATTACCTATGATGTCAAAAATAAAAACGAGCAGAATCTATGGCAAGGTTTAAGAAGTCAGTCAGTAAGAACACACAGAGAAACAACATTGCAGAACTAGCAGGCAATTGAGATTTGACATTTAGAAAAATGATATCTTCATTGTGTAGCAGGAGGAGGCCGCTTGTTTGTCCCAGCTGCACAGAACCAAAATAATCACACAGGAACTATATTAATTAAAACACTGCTTGGCCCATTAGCTATAGCTCTTATATTAATTTAACTCATTTCTGTCAATCTGTATATCAACACGTGGCAGTGGCACTGACAGAGATCAGCATGTCTCACTCTGGCAGTTCCATGGCGTCTCTCTGACTCTGCCCTCCTTTCTTCCACCGTTTAGTTCGGTCCTCTCCACCTTCCTAAGTTCTGCTCTATCAACAGGCCAAGGCAGTTTCTTTATTCATTAATGGTAATCCCAGCACACAGAGGGAACTTCCACATCATCATGAAACAGGGATAAAAAGAATGTACATTATCAGGTTAACTCTCATTTAGTCTACCAACAAAAGTTTAAGCAGCCAAATATTGATGCTTTTAACTGTTGTAGATAACATGAGAAAAATTTTATGACGGTATAAGTCCTTTACTTTACACATACATGGAGTTCTTCAATGAAGACAAAGCATGGCATCTTCCCTTCTGTTTTTTTCATGAGTTTATCATGTTATTCTAAAGTCAACAGTTTCTTTAAATAGTAAAAGATTCATTCTGGTCATATGCGGTGTACTTTTTCAGGACAATTTTTAATGATGAGACTGCCAATTCAAGTTAATACTGTTGATTCTATGGCACTGATTTTTGAATATCTAATTTTAATAACTTGATTAAAAGCAAAATGAGTAACACCACTCTAGTCAGTATTCATCTCAGAGTACTCAGGCCAGCCTTCATTTGGTTAAGTTTGGATTTGAACAGGTATGTTCCTAATTATAGTGTGGAATAAGTGTTATGCATTAAAACTACATTTTTGTGGATTTATGTATTTCAAAAGTTACTTGCTTTAATCATGCAGTTTAGCTTAAAGTTCCATTCTTTTGTAATTAGATATTTAATTTCATTGTAAAATATTAAAGAACTGAAGATAGACATTAATGTGTAATGTGTAGTTGATTTTATTCTCTGAGATAAAATGTAGTTGAAAAATGTTTTTCTGCCTTAGAATAGAAAGCAATTGTGTTTCAAGAATTTTCTTCTTTGGAATATAGATAGAGATCCTATCCACTATAAATTATGATGAGCTTCCAAAGTTCCAGTTTACCCAAATTCACTCTGAAGAATCAGTGAGTTTGTTGGACCTATTACAGAGCATGGTGAATAGAGACCCTGTTCCCTATAGATGATAATGACCATCCAACGTTCTATTCCTCCAAATTCACTCTGGAGAATCAGTGAGTTTGTTGGACATATTACAGAGCATGGTGACCCTGAAGCAGCTTCAGTACAAAGTTGCACCCACTGTGGGACAAAGACTCCCGCATGTTTGCATAGATGGAGCCCCAGTCCTACTCTTCTGCAGCCTAGATTGACTCATCACAGAGACCCTGAGGCCGCTGTAATTGGGGTAGAATTGCATCCAGCTGTTGAGAGACTGCTGGATACTGAGAGTCCCATGACACTCCCTGCTGCTGCTTCTATGAACATGGGAAGATGGCGACTCCTTGGCTTGGGCATAGTAGCTGTAAAACAGACTCACAGCTATATAAATGATTTCTGACACAGCACATTTAACATTAAACAAGTTGAAAATATTGAAGACAATAGTAAACTCAACCAAAACTAGGTTTATCAATGTGATTTTTTTCCCATTTTAAAATTATAGGAAAATTATTTTTATTTCTGAGTCAAATATCAGTGAGGCACTGATCTATGGGTATAATAGAATGTTCTCAGAACACTTTTTTTCAGTTTAATTAATTACATTTTGAAACATTTTGCAGAAACCAAGCTATTTGCAGCTTCCAAATACAAGATGTATATTCCAGCCTGATGGCAAAGGACTGCCTTTGTTTTTTGTTTTTTTTTTAAACTAAATTAATTTTATCTTTAGGCTTTGTGTTTGAGTTTGTTTCTTTTCCATATCTCTTTTTTAAGGTTTTATTTTTATTTTCAATTATGTGTATATTTGTGTATGGGATGATATAGACAGATTTCTCTTTTTGGGTCACTAGCTGATAAAAAAAATGACTTGGAGACTTAGTATTCATTATGAAAACTTGGCCTTACCCTAGGCTTATTTCCAGCTAGCTCTTATAACTTAAATTAACCCATATATTTTAAAATCTATGTTCTTCCATGTGCTCATTACCTCATCTTCATTATGCCCATCCTGGTAATTCTGCATCTGGCTGAAGACTTTTCCTTTGTTCTTCCCAGAGTTCCCTCTCCTCAGAAGTCCTGCTTGACCTTTTTCTGCCTAGCTAATGGCCATTCAACTCTGTATGTATGTACATACGTATCTATCTATCTATCTATCTATCTATCTATCTATCTATCTATCTATACTCAACCACAGTGACACATCTTCACATAGTGTAAGGGAGTATTCCACATCATTTCTCCTTTTTATCTGAATAAAAACAAAAGTTTGTAATTCTAACATAATAAAATTATAAACAATAAGAACAATTGTTAAATAAGAGTTACATTTACAATGTCCAGTCCATTTGTATTTGGCATATTTGGGGGAAATACTATATTTTCTATCTTATCTTGATGAACTTAAAATTTTATGTCTAACCTTTTTTTTAATCATAACTCATCTTACCATCTTAAAACTATCTTTTAGACCTCAGAACAGTTTTTTTTAGATAAGAAATTTAAGTTTTTATGTCTTTCAACCTTCTATATTTTATACATTTTTGTGAGTTTTTTTTAAATTTGGTAACAAAGAAAACCATATAACTATATAACTTTATTGTCTTTAACTCCATCAGACACCCCAGAAACATGTAATATTCCCTGGAGCATTGAAGTAGGAGTCACACCTAACCTCTTCTGCCTAGTTACTGGCCATTCAGCTCTTTATTAAGCAGTCACAATGACACATCTTTACACACTATAAAGGAACATTCCACAGCAGGATGATGTGTGTCCATGGATGTAAGTGCCCATCTAGGCATCCAGATCTCCCCAGAGTTGGAGTTCCAGGCAGTTATAAGCTACCCAGTGTGGTTCCTGGGAGCAGAACTCTGGTCTTCAGTGAGAGATAGCTCTCTGACACCACAGGAATTTTTTAAATCTGTGCACACATATTGCGGCAGTGTAGTGAAGATAGTTAATATTTATAAAGTTGCTTAGAGATAGACCAGTAAATTAAATTATAATTAACTGATAATAAATGAAGAAATGACGAGTACTTAGCCATTTTCTTCATCTAGAATGTTCCTTCTTCCTTCAGTATACGGTGATCATCTGTAGGGCAGACTGTCTAGTCTCCCATGGCAGTTCGCTTTGGAGGCTTCAAATACAGGAAGACTACAATACCCACTGCACGTTTCCGTGGTTCTGGGGATTCACGCTCTGGTTCTCTTCCATTTATTTACTTACTTACTTACTTACTTACCTTACTTATTTATTTCATATGTGTTGTTGTGCGGTTGTCAGAAGACAGCCTTGGGGAGTAGGTTTTCCCCTGCTGTGAGTGTCTGAGGAGACTGGACTCATGTCTTCAGGCTTGGCAGCCAGTGTCTTTACCTACTCACCTATCTCACTGCCTGATCAGGTTTGTTGTTAAAAAAAAAAGTGTGTTTAATTCTTTACATTGTTGTAATTCTTTTCATTTTTGATTTATTATTTATTAGGAGATGGACGATAATGACAAGCACATTAACCCTCATCTTGAGAGCCTTGTGACTTTATACCTTTTTATCTGTGGCTTTCTGACATAGGAACTGCTCCGATATCAGTATACTTCATTAAATATCAACAAACTACCTATCTTTCTTAAATTTAGGTAAAATCTACATAGATACTTCAATAATTTGACCAGTCATTTTGTTTATAGTTTTTATATTCTATATACCTATTTTTAAAGGGAACTAGCTCTTGTAGACCAGGCTGGCCTCTGCCTCCCAAGTGCTGGTATTAAAGGCACGCACCACCATCGCCCAGTTCATTGTCTAGATTTTTAAGATTTAGAATAAGTTTATCATGCAGAGTCTAATTAAGGTCCAGTGGATAGGTCTGCTAATTGGCCACTAACTTGTGTACAATGCGTTATAATTCAGCAGGTGTATTGGTGGATAGCAAGGACAACATTCAATTCTTCAGGAGCCAGGGCCCAAGAGAGCAGGAAACCTCAAGGAGCTCTGGTTTCTCATAAGTATGTGCCCTTTTGGAACTGACAACTGCCTACTCTGCATATTATGCCTTAAGCTAACATTACTTGTTAATTAAAGCTGTAGCATATCTTGTGTTGAATGAGAACTAGAGCAGAACATGGCCATTCTAGCTAGTCCTTCCCTAATGTAGGATGTTACTACTCTTTTTCTTTTCTTTCTTTTTACTCTTCTCTTCCTTTTTTCTTTCTTCCAAGGTCTTTTGTTGTGATCCATAGGAGTAGGTGTAGGAGGAGGCCACTAGTTATTACCCGTCCTCTTAGCCCCGTCCTCTTAGCCCCAAAATAACCACACAGAAACTGTATTATTTAAATCACTCCTTGGCCTATTAGCTCTAGTTTCTTATTGGCTAACTCTTACATCTTAATTAACCCATCTTCATTATTCTGTGCATCACCATGAGGTGGTGGCCTACCAGCAAAGTTTCAGCACGTCTGTCTTCAGCACAGGCTCCATGGCTTTTCTCTGACTTCGCCCTTCTTTCTCTCAGCATTCAGTTTAGTTTTCCCTATCTACCTTTAGTCCCTTTGCAGTCCCAAGACAGTTTCTTTATTAACCAGTGATATTCACAACATACAGAGGGGTATCCCACATCAGGTAGGTTTGGAGAAATTGGTAAATCCTGAGCCGCTGGGAGCCCAAGGCTGGACTGAAGACCTCCAGGCAGTGATCTAAGCTCCAAGAGCCTGGAAATATTCTTTCAGTCTTCAGAATCCAGAGTTAAGGTGCTAGCATTCATGTGGGGAATTTTGCTCTGGGTTTTACCACTAGTGCCTTCGGTACATAGGAGTCATTCCAATCTCTGGAGTCTAGTCCCTGTAAACAGTGCAGGACACAAACAGCAGGCAGAGTTTCTAGTGTTCCAGCTCTCAGACAGGTCTTAGTTCTGGAATCCTCAGCCCTATAGCAATCTTGGAGCAATAACAGCACAGTGATCTAACAGTATTCCCACACTGTTCAACTCCTACTTCAGTGCTCCAGGAAAGAGGTGTCCTTTAATTTGTCTCAAGAATGCTGCACTTCTAGAATATTCTAGCTGTTCTAGTAGTAGTAGAACAGCTACTTTTGGAACTACAAGCAAGGAAGATAAAAAAATCTGTTATGGTGAATGACACATTTTGCAAGCCCCATGGATCCAAGTTAATCTGAGAAGAATATTGACTGGGTGAAGAAAATATCAGAGGACTGGAAAAAGTCAATAGCACCTCTAACTTTGTGGACTCAGGCGTAATGAGGAAGATAATGGCTAGTGGACGCAGAAATGAGAGGTCTGAGATCCAGATTCAAAAGAACACTCAGGGGGACGAGTTCCTTAGGACGGAAGGCTGGGAGACAAGCGCAGGTATGTACAGGATCTGGAGAGCCATGTAGGGTGGATAAGGAAAGTACGTCTCAAGAATGTTGTCTACTGGTTGATAAGTCATTGCTTAAGTTGTTGCTGAGCAATAAACATTTTGAAGCTAGCAAAATTACTCAGAATAAAAAGAAACTATAATCAAAAGGAAGGAGGATGTTTATTGATTTCCATAACTAAAATGATCAAAAGGAATACCAGATTTTTTTTTCTTGGCACGATGTAGTACTAGAGACTGCACTGTCAGGAACTTGTCTTATCATGGCCTGATTTTCTCTTACTGATCACAGGTTTCTGCGTTGTAGCAGTATATATGGCTGTGATCACCTTGATCTTACATGCCTCACGCTTTGTGATGGAAGAGAAAGAGATCTTGTTTAGTGTTGATTGGAAGTGTACCTGGGGAGGATTTACTGACTTGTCCTGGTTCATGTGTCCATTCTTGCATAGTTGTTATGTATAAGGATATTAGTTGTTATGATTGGTCCGTTGTTATCTCAGTCATGTATCCATGTAGCATAACATACAATGCCAGAAAATGAAAGTACAGCAGAAACATGGCTCATAAGTATAATTTCTGTGAACAATTAAAATTTGTTTCTGCTAATGTTTCACTTTACAGTTAGGCCTAGCACAGTTACACCTGTGCAGATAACATGTGCTGCAGGCACACTCTGCTTTGAAAAGAACTGAATAAGTGGGACTGGGGTATCTCTAAGATAGGCTAATTCCACGTAATCCAGACTAGACACTTAACAAGTAGGACTGGGGTATACTCTAAGATAGGCTAATTCCATGTAATCCAGACTATACACTTAACAAGTAGGACTGGGGTATACTCTAAGATAGGCTAATTCCACGTAATCCAGACTAGACACTTAACAAGTAGGACTGGGGTATACTCTAAAATAGACCAATTACACTTAAGCCAGACTAGACACTTAACAAGCACACCACCGAGGATCAACCCAAGGCCTAAGCATGCTAAAGAGGTGCCTTAGAACAGAGCTGTATATCCAGCCCATGAGTTTGAGATGGGATCTTGCTCTGTAGTTCATCCTGGCCTGGAACTTGTAGTGTTGCAGTCTTGGTCTCTGGCCTTCCTAGTGCTGGTATCACAGATTTTGAAACTCTGCCTTACTATTTTGATTTTTAGCCTAGCATTTATTCAACCAGGGGAATGAATTAGGATGTATATAATTTTGACCAGCCCAGCTCTCAATTGTATAATTTATTTCTCAGTTTTAACTGTTTCATTGTAATTTTTTTCTCAGAAATCCACTAACTTGAATCATTATAAAAGTGATTTGAGCTATGTCAGTTAACTATGAAGTTCTTTGAAAACATATTGTGGTGTTGATAAGTACATTACAAGTGTCTCAAATATGAAGTTCTTTGAAATAAGTAGGTTAGTCTAGTTTTTATATGAATTGGCAAGAATTCAGCAACAACTCAAGTTTGTTTAATGCAGTCTTTTCACTCCCTTTAACAGTCAGAACAAGATGATAGTTTCCAGATGAGATTCTGAATGTCACGTAGTGATGACATACATTTTCCTGGTTGGCTCAGCATGTGATGCAATTTTGCATGCCATGTCACGCTGCCTAGCAGAATCCAAAAGCCATTATTTCCCAAGGGGCTTTCAGTAGTGATAGCATTGGATGCAGTTTGTGTTGAGATGAAACTCCCAGGCACTATTGCCGTTTTCTCACAGGTCCCTGAAAGCTTTAAAATACCCTCTAGCCATTAGAAATTAGAAAGGAATTGTGAAGGTCATGTTCTCTTTCAGTTATTTAAATGTGTATTGTAAAGTGAGATTACCAAAAAATAATGATCATTGTAAAATACAGATCAAAAATAAGTAAGATATGGGATATAATTTGTAAATAAAGGATTAAAACGTGTAGTTTTGACACCAACCCCAATTCAAATCAAACTAATCACATACTTCAATTTACTTCAATTATAAAAGAAAAGGTTGTTCCTAATAATTTGCTATGTGCCCAACAATGATGTGTGGAAGCTCTTTAAAATTGTACCCACAAACACACACACACACACACACACACAAAACAGGTAAAGATCGTGTTTTTGTGTGTTTTAGAAAGTGTATTTGAAGCAGAGTAAAGCTTATTTTATCTAACATTTTCTCTAACAGTCCCTACCTTGAAGGTCTTGGGAGAGTAATCTTAATTTTGTTTTCTCCCCTGAGTCCTAATCACATGTAAATTCTTTTAAGTCCATTCCATGGCTTCTCAGATAGAACACTTGCTCTTCAAGACCGATGATCTGAGTTCAATCCCTTAGACCCAGTGTGATAGGAAAAAATGGACTCCATGCCGTTTCCCCCTGACTATCATACACATGCTGTGAACAAGGGCATCACACACTGATGATAAAATATAATACAGTATTTCAGTGAATGTGTACATAGTACTTAGTTCACATTAATATTCTTCCTTCTTGTTTGTTATCTCAAGCTGTTTGTAATAACAATACTTTTCTTCTTTTTCAAAGCTGCTGCAGAGCTATTTTGCTATAGCTTTCTGCTTAAGTGTCTTCAATGTTCCTCAGTCTGAGATGTGTTGTGGCCTATGCTGTCTTAGATACGTTTACCCCTGTACCTCTCCCTGTCCTGCACTTGACATGTTTCAAGGCTACAATCAAGATTCCTGCCCCAGTGGCTCTTGATTCTTTCTATTCTATCTCCAGCTTTGGTATTTAGGATCTGCTGTGTCTCTGCAGTGTCTGTATCACTTTGTAGTTTTACTGCAGCCTCAATTTGAACCAGCAACATGCATACTCTGTACTGCACGTACCATTGTCAAGACAGCACCGAGGAAAGCTGTCGAGATGCCTTGACTCACTTTTAAGACTGTGTGATGAGGTGCAGTGTTTTTCCTGCATATGATTCTTCCCGCTGTAATGGGTGCATAGTAGTTTAATTGTGAAAAACAAGGATTCTTAAAGTATTTCTTTGGCATGTAAGTATCAAATTATTTTAACTTTGTGTTTTAGCATGTTAGAATGTTTGATTTAAAAAATTGCTGTTTGAGTTGCTGAGTGAGTTTTATGAAAAATATTTCAGTGGATTTTGGTTTAGGATTAGAACAAATTCTAACAGTTTGAATAATATCTCAGCATACTTCTGACATTTTTTAATATATTTTCATGGAGTTGTTTATTCAACATTGATAATTAAAAATTTAAGTTACAACGCACACTGAAAACATTGCAGTTGGTCTTCATACCTGTCAGTTGTTTCATGCTAAAATAGGGAAGCATCTCTGTATCAGAGCATGCAAATTTGCTTTAACATTTATAAGTGGTAAAATTATGTATACCAAAGAACTGTTTCAAAATAAATTTCTCCATGTTCCACTGATAGTAGATGTTTGATTTGTATGCCTGTGTATCTGTGATTGGTATTTGATTTACTGAATCTGAGCAGCAGTCCTTCAGGGAGTATGTGTCAGTAAGTATTGTGTGGCGGCAAACACAGTAGCCACAAAACAACTTTATGGTTGGGGTTAAAGGGCTGCGACTTTAGGACAGTTATCTGTTAAGTTTTCTTTTAGATAATGAACTGTTGTTTAGGCCTGTTGTTGTCTTTGCTGTAAATGCATCACTGGACAAGTTTTTCTCATTAACATGAATGAGGAATATAAATGTGCGTATCTCTTCTTGATTACTGGAGCGCTCACTGAGAAGGAAAGTGGAGGAGTGCTCCAGTGCCATGCTGGTGCCAGGCTGCCTGCCTGGCATCTACCGAAGGCCTTGCCCTTGATATCCAGCTGTGCACCAATAAGAGAACATAAGCTATAAGTAGGTTCCTTACACAAAGGGATATTATTTTAAAAAATAATGTCAAAATATGCTTAATAGGGAGATTTCAGTAAAGATGTATATATTAATTTTTCTTAAAAATATTAGCTGATTATGTGTAAAACAGATTTTTTCTGCACAGGTTCCCATACTAAGTGCTTCATAAAAATAAAGGAAACACATACGTTCTTTTAGTTAAATTAATGCTGTCGTGGTATCTGGCCTCTTTTGAGTAAAGGTCATAACTGTATAATTGGGTAGTTAGAGGTGCTTCTTTAAAGAAAAACCTGCTAGAGGCTTGGATTTTCTTCTTGTTGGAAATCATCCTGCATCTGACTAATCTCAATGATGACACCTCCCACTTTGTGGACTTGAGTTGATAGGTTACATGACCTAGATGTAAAAGCTTACTGTTGAGAGTGTTTTCTATGAGAACTGAGTTGTGTCAGCTGATTAAATGATTTTTGAGTCTCTGAGGTAATAGATTAACCTTGGGTTCATGAGAATCTCCAACATCAAGATTAAACCATTTGAAATTACATGTTATTATTTTACCCATAGGTTTTTACATAATGAAGATATTAGCCATTTTATAACTGAAATCATTTTTGCAGACCTCCAGAATAACTGACTAATTGATAACAGATTTCCAGTTCAGTGTGAACACGATAAAGGAATGTTTTGATATGATAATGGGCTGAAATTTTGTGGCAAAAATATTGTCATATAGTTTTGTGACCTAACATTTCTTTTAGGTATTTCTGTAAGTGAATGGATGCATGTGTTTCTGTACTTCATATATGTGTGTGTCATCCCTCATGAACGATGCATGTGTTTCTGTACTTCATATGTGCATGTTTCATCCTTCATGAATGATGCATGTGTTTCTGTACGTACATGTGTGTGTGTCAGCCTTGGGTTGGTGTCATTCCTCATGAATGATGCATGTGTTTCTGTACGTACGTGTGTGTTTGTGTGTGTCATTCCTCATGAACGATACATGTATTTCTGTACTTCATTTGTGTGTGTGTGTGT